GTATAGATGTTCCAGCTGACTTTTGGTTAGCAGTTTCCAGAATATCATTTTCATACATTTTTTTTTTACTTTCAATGTTTTCATGATCTTTTATGTGTGTTTTTTATATGTGACACTTACATAGATTTAGATTTTTAAAAATTCAATCTTTTAACTCATACATCAAATCCATCTATGTTTATGGTATCAGAATTACTGATAAATTTGGGCTTTTTACCAACTTACCTTTTGAATAATATGTAGGTGTGCATACACACACATACACACACACATCGATACATTCATACTTTCTTTCCTTTACAGTTCTGATAACTTGCCTGCTCATTCTTTTTTGCTTATTCACCTTTATGATTACGTTCTCTATTTCTTTAAATATTTCGGTCACATAATTCAGTAATCTATAGTCCCCAGGGCTCTAAAGCTACTGTTTACTGCCTCTGCCTGTTCTCACTCACAGATATGGTGATCTTTGAGTATGGACCTCTTGCTTGATGTTAATCAGGATAACACTCCCGTCAGCCTAAACTGGAAATACTTCACTCCACAGGAGGCTTTCTTCTGCTTCTGCTGGAAGCCAGGAATGCCACTGTCTCAGGATCACCTCAGCTCTCACCTCCAGGGCCTTGGACTGGGACAGAAGCTGCTGGCCCAGCCTCCTGACCTTACGGCCTCCCCATGGCTCTGCATTCTGTACTGGCTCTGCACACCAGAACAACGCCCCAACCGCTCTGTATTCTGGTTCCTGCTCCTATCACAGTTTTTTTGGTGGGTGTAAGGGTAGCCAAGAGAAAGGAGAATAGACCCAAAGTCAGGAAAGCAAGTTTTATTAACCTGCTGGGCTGCTCCGTAACAGTCAGAGGAGGCAGCCCTGAGCTTACAAAATGAGGGGTTTATATGGGGTGAGAGGGGCATAAGGGGTTTTTAGGACTGAGGTCATCTGTGCACTGGTAACAGGCACAGAGATAGTTTGTCAACTTGTAACAGACCTACAATACATCATCCTGTGTCTTTTGTGGTGGCAGTCTTTCAAGAAACAGAGAGAAACCAGGAGTTTTTACAGATATGTGTCAAACAGGAATTTACAAGTATGGATAACCAACATGTTTTCCCTGTCCTCCCTTGAGTGCCTGGATCAGGTTTTGCTTAATTGTAGCACGTCTGGCAGCCTTGATGTGGCACCTAGGTGGGGGTTCAGGAATGCAGCTGCAGAGCAATCAGAGTAGGGGGAAGGGGTCAGCTTGCACAGCTTGTCCCTGAGTGGGGAGTGGAAGAGTCATCGGAGAACTCCTTTACTTCTTGTGAGGCTCATCATTCCTCAAAGAATGTGTCCTAGCCAAGGTCTGGTTGTTTTGCTGCAGAACATTTTCTTGGTGAATGTGGTCAGGCAACAAACTAGAAGCCAAATAGCTGAGTTTGGGAGAACACATCTTGCAAGATCTTAAAATTTTTCTTAAATGGATATTTTCTAGCATACTGTTTGGTTTGAATTGTATTTTCCCCTAAAACATATGTTGAATTTCTAACCCCCGTATCTCAGAATGTGCTCTTACATGAGATAGAGCCTTTACAGAGCTAATCAAGTTAAAATGAAGTCATTAGAGTGAACTTTTTAATTTTTTGTTGTAAAGCAATTCTGCTTAACAATGAATATTCTCAGTTTTTGCTTATTTTGGAATGTTTTAATTTCGCCTTCATTTTTGAATGATAGATTTTTGTATGTAAGATTCTTGGTTAACAGGAAATCAGTTGTTAGTCTTACTGAGGTTCCCTTTTATGTGGTGAGTCATTGTTTTCCCTTTCTGCTTTCAAGATTTTCTCTTTAAGTTTGGCTTTCAACATTTTGACTATGATGTGTTTAAGTGTGGCTTTCTTTGTATTTTACTACTTGGAGTTTGTTGAGCTTTTTGGATATGTAGATCTGTGGTTTTTAAAAATATGAAAATTGGAGAGTTTCCAATCATGATTTCTTTTCATCTTTTTTCTGTCTCTTTCTCTCCTCGCTGTCTGGTATGTCATTATGCACTTGTTGGTGCACTTCGTGGCATCCCACATTTCTCTGATGCTCTGCTCATTTTTCTCCTTTTTCTTTCTTTCTTGAGATTGCATCATCTCTATTGATCTCTCAGTTTGTTTTTACTTTATCTGCTAACATTCTTTTGCCAACTTGAATCTACTACTGAGCCTCTCTAGTGGATATTTTATTATTATTATACTTTAAGTTGTAGGGTACATGTGCAGATCATGCAGGTTTGTAACCTACATACACACGTGTCTTGGTGGTTCACTGCATCCACCCCCTTGTCATCTATATTAGGTATTTCTCCAAATGTTATCCCTCCCCAATGTCCCCACCCCCTGCTATCCCACCCCTAGCCCCCTACCCCCGACAGGCCCCAGTGTGTGATGTTCCCCTCCCTGTGTCTGTGTGTTCTTACTGTTCAACACCCTCTAGTGGACTTTTCATTTCAGTTATTGTTCTTTTCATCTCTAGAATTTCAATTTGGTTCTCTTTTTAAAAATCATTTATGTCTTTGTATTGATATTCTGTATTTGAAGAGTCATAATTGTTATAATACTTTCTTTTAATTCTTTAAACAGGGATTCTTTTAGTTCTTTAAACATAGTCCTAATATGAAGTCGTTGTTTGCTAAGTCCAGCATCTGAATGCTCCCTTCAAGGGCGGTTTCTTTTGCCTGCTTTTATGTGCCTCCTGTGTATGGATCACACTTTGCTGGGGTTTTTTTTTTGCAATTCTCATAATTTTTTGTTGAGAACTATATTTGCCTGTTCTCGCACTGCTATAAAGAAATATCTGAAACTGCATAATTTATGAGGAAAAGAGGTTTAATTAGCTTTGGGCTCTACAGGCTATACAGGAAGCCTAGTGGCTTCTGCTTCTGAGGAGGCCTCAGGAAACCTTACAATTATGGTGGAAGACGAAGGGGAAGCAGGCAACTCTTATATGGCATAGAACAGGGGGAAGAGAGACAGAAAGAGGAGGCACCACATGCTTTTAAATGACCGGATCTCACTCACTATCACAGCGGCACTGAGGGAATGTTGCTAAACTATTTACGAGAAACCACCCCCATGATCCAATCACCTCCCACCAGGCTCCACCTGCCACCTGGGGATTATAATTAGACATTGGATTTGGGCAGGGACACAGATCCGAACCATGTCAGGAACTGTTCTGTAGCAACTCCAGATACTGCTCTGCTATCCCCTCTAGGGCTTAGTGCTGTTATTTGGTTTGTCATGTGTTTACTTGTTTAGTGACTTCACTGAACTAATTCTGTGAGATCTGTTTCCCCTACAATGTGCAGCTCATGATGTCCCTGCTCATATGTTTTCCTTGTTTTTTTTTTTTTTTTTTTT